CGAGACTTGCATTGCCGAACTAATTTGGAAGTACTTAGATAGAGGGTTGGCTAATGATTTAAGTGCAGCTTGGCTGTACCTGTAGACAGTTTTGGAGCCATCAGTGAAGATTTGACAATGTGGGCTCAGTGCTGGAATTAAACCAGCTTTCCCCTCAGGGAACTCGCTCTCTCTCAACAAAGGTAATGGTGTCGTACTATCCTGTAGCATTGAAAACGTACAAGTGCTCAAATATTTTCCGCCGGCAATTTCCACATCGCCTCACTCAGTGTTATACCAACATCCGTTTCTTTTTAGTCCGCAGGTGGCCTTTAAGGCTTCCCCACGTATGATGACACAAGTGACGGTAAGTTCACCAGTGCGTCAAGAGCACTATACATTAAAGCTAAATAAATAGGCTATCAAGCAACCATTTTGGTTCTTTACTATCGAGACCAGATAAATTTTCGTGGACCCCCACTTACAACCCGTGAACCCCCATATTTTTTCACGCCAATGTAGACCCCTGTCGAGTCTTCCGTGGACCCCTGGGGGTCCACCTGGACCACTTTGGGAATCACTGATTTAAATTCACGACGTTCGGGCTTTTCAACGCCGTCCAAACTTTTCAGAGGCTAATCGACGAAACATTACGCTGGTTAGATTTTGTATTCCCGTATATCGATGACATTTGCGTCGCCTCTAAGTCAAGGGAACAGCACCGTCGCGATTTGAAAACAGTTTTCCAACGTCTACGTGATTTTAATCTGGCAATCAATCCGTCGAAATGTGAATTCGGAAAAAACGAATTAAAATTCTTGGGCCATCTGGTCGACGCTCGTGGAATACACCCATTGCTCGAAAAGTTGATGCGATTCGCAACTTCGACAAACCTACAATTGCAAAAGAACTTAAACGTTTCCTAGCAATGGTTAATTTTTATCGCAAATTTTTGCGTAATGCAATGTCTTACCAAACGTGCCTCCAACAAGTCATCGACGGCAGCAAAAAAAACGACCGCACACCAATAACGTGGAACGCTGAAGCAGAGGATGCATGTACGGTGTAAAGAAGAACTATCGAAAGCAACGCTTCTGGCACACCCCGATTCCAACGCGGAATTACCCCTATTCGTTGACGCATCAGATACAGCCGTTGGCGCCGCACTCCACCAACACGTCGATGGAGAATTGCAACCGCTCGGGTTCTACTCGAAAAAATTGAGCAACGCCAAACGGTCCTACAGCACCTACGACCGCGAGCTGGCTGCTATATACCAAGGGGTTTGCCACTTCCGCCACATGATCGAGGGATGTAAATGCTACATCGTGACTGACCACCGACCTTTGATCTACGCTTTTAAACAAAAACCCGAAAAAGCTTCGCCCCGTCGTCTTCGCCAGTTGGATTTCGTAGG